CCTCAGTAGCGCTGCTCAGGGACATCACAACTGGCCTGTGGGGCGGGATGATCGCCTCCTTATCTACCTTGATCCACTCGTAGCTGAACGCTAGCAAGCGGCTGAGAATAAAATAGTCGATCGTCGTCCTGTCGTTCCCGATCGTACATGTGGGAACGTTGGGCGTGTAAACTTCTCCTCCGCACTTGTTGGGCCTCATGTGCTCGATATGTGTCTCAGGGTTTATGTTGAAATCACCACCCGCGACAAAGGGCACTCCAGAGGCCAGGATGTGGTTCCCCAGGGTCTTGGATAACACCAAGTTGGCCCTGGTGGGCCCGATAGAATCCACCCAGTAGTTGCAATATATAGACTGACAATCCCAAAACTCCGTGTCCTAAGAAACGCGTGCGCTATCCTCCCAGGAGCCAAGACGCTTCTGGACACTGATGATTGCCAGGAATCTAAATGTTTGCGAATTAAAATGCCCCCCCCCCGAATTCCGATTCTCAGAGGTGACTATACAAGGACTCCAGAAGCTATCCCACCCTTGAAGACCTAAGGTGTGCTGGGCGTCAGGAATCTGCTGAGACCTTAATCTATGCTCTTGAATGAACACCACGTCCACAGATCTCTGCACTGTAAATAAAAATGTTAGTGCCGTCTTCCAGGACGAGGTGTTTGCAGTGACAAATGTGAGGCGTGCATTACCCCAACTGCTTGGGGATGCTGGCCTGGCCAGCCGCAGGCGTTCCCTCACTCTTGGCGTCAGCTCGCGCTGGCGATCGGGAACGGCGGGCGGGAGCTGGATCGGGTTCTCCCGCTGGTGGCTGACGTACTGGTGGTACTCGCTGCGGTGGCATGGCGGGCTTGCCAGGTCCAGCTGCTGGGGGTCCTTTAGCTTGTGCTGCTGGCCTCGGTACTTCACCTCCGACAGGAGCTGCTGGGGCATGACCTGACGCTTTACCTCCACCAGGCGGACCGCTGTCGGGCGTGAGCAGCGTACTGGGCTTCGTGGAGAGGTCCGTGAGTTCGCTCTGCTTCTCTGCAGCCACGGCGCTGGCCTTGAGTCTGATGCCAGCCAGAAGTTGACCAGCAAGAACAGTATCAAGATTCTGCAGGACGGACGGCTCCTGCTCTGGCGGTGCGGCTCTTGCCGCCGCCTCTGCCTTTTCGTCCTCGGCGATCTTGATCTTGGTCTCTTCGATGGCGACTTGCTCCTGGACCACAAGTGCTTCCTGCTGTTCGAGATGCTGGCGGGCATTCTCCACTTTGAGACGATAAAACTTGAGCTGTTCTTCATGGCGTTCCAACTGCTTCTGATGCTTGATCTTCTTGTCGGCTGCCGCTTGGAGCTGAGCACTGATGGGATTGGCTGCGGCCCTCTCCTCGCGGACGGACTGCAAGGTGCTCTCCAATTCGTGCTGGGCCTTGGCACCTTTGACGCCGAGCTTGCGCATGATGTCAAGTGCCTGTTGGCAAACCTGGAGCTGCTGTCCAGGGATGTCTGGAGGCGCTGGTTCCACCTCCATGGTTGCCGCTGCTGTGGCCTGGGCCGCGGCGGCTGCGGGGGCGGCGGGCAGCCCAGGGGGAAGGTCATGTCCTCCTGCACCAGACCCTGCGCTACCAGAAGCTCCTCCTCCTGGCGGCGCACTGATTGCCCTGCCTCCTCCCTTGCGACGTCCCTTCTTTTTCTCGGATTTTGTGGGGCCAGCTGCAGCAGGTGGTTCCTCTTTCTTGGCCGAATAGTGCTCACCACAACGCCAACACCAAGAAATATTCCACGAGACAGAAGCCACACAGCATTTGCAGGTCCAGCTGTAGGCCTTAGCGCCGCCCTTGCCGTTCCAAGACTTCCAGGACATTGCGGGAAGAGTGTCTGAACCGGATGAATCGTTAGGATGTTCGATCCTGCCCGAGGCAGGTGAAGTTCGAAAATCTGGCCCCAGGTCGCGCCGACCACCTTGAGCCAGAACGGCTTGAGCCAGATGGCTTGAGCCAAATGGCTACGGACCTCCCCACTCCTCCTCCTCCTCCTCCTCCTCCTCCTCCTCCTCCTCCTCCTCCTCCTCCTCCTCCTCCTCCTCCTCCTCCTCCTCCTCCTCCTCCTCCTCCTCCCTCCCCACTCCTCCTCCTCCTCCTCCTCCTCCTCCTCCTCCTCCTCCCTCCTCCTCCTCCTCCTCCTCCTCCTCTTCCTCCTCCTCCCCCACTCCTCCTCCTCCTCCTCCTCCTCCTCCTCCTGCCCCCCCTCCTCCTCCTCCTCCTCCTCCTCCTCCTCCTCCTTCTTCTTCCTCGACTCTCGGGGGCCTCTGCGGGGCGCTTGGGGCTCTCATGGGGGCCTGCAGGGGTCCTTCGGAGGATCGTGGGGGCGTCTTGGACCCGAGGGCCCACGGTTCTACAGTCGGACCCTGGCCAGAAGAGCATCCCTCAAGAACACGAGACCCTCCGCCAGCCAGAGCACACGGAGCATCCCGGGGTACCCCCCTCAGGGCGCGCAGTCACATCCAGCAGGCACGAAGAACACGAGGGTACCCTCCCCGAGCCGACCTCGATCTTGTACCTCGGCCCGGCCGTAAGCCCTGTGCCGATTCCGATGTCGCCCGCAGTGGCGCTCCTGCTCCGCAGCAGGTTTTTTTTTGTCGGCTCGCTCGCCGAGGACGGTCGCCGGAGAGCGGCAGCGCCCCCGCGGGGCCGCGCGAGAGCTGGCGTCATTGCTGCGCTGCCGTGCGCGCCCGGGCGCCGCGCAGGTTCTGCGTGAAGGTGGCACGCGAGGCTTCGACGCGGCACGTGCTTCGCCAGAGGAGGAAAAAGCGGCGTAAACATAAACTTTCGGCGCTCCGCGCGGGCTTCAAGGATCTGTCCTAGGCCCCCCCAGCGGCGCCCCCGGCGCCGCCCCTGGCGCGCGCGGGGAGGGGTGTCCAGCGCAGATCCAAGAAATCTGCGCGGACCTCCAAAAACTGATGTTTGTGTCGTTTCTCTTCTTCGATCCGTCTTTGCCGCGCTCCTCGGGCATCTGGCCGCGCGAGAGAGAGCAGAAGGGTGCTCTCGCCACAACGCCGCGCGGAGGGCTTTCTTTGGAAACTCCGCTCGCGCCCATTGCGCGAACCGTGCTTTTCCTTCCCCGCCAAATCGTCGGAAGCGGGACCGCGCACGAGCGCATTCCATCAGCTAGGTGGACACGCGCGCCAGTCCCAAGATCAATCTGCGCCAGCTTTGGTTCTGGGTGGAAGCGGGCGGGGCCCGCTGACTCGCTTGACCTGGACAACTTCACTCCTACTCAAACTCCGACATCTACTCTTGCTCCTCCACATCCTCCTCATCATCCTGTCCATCCTTCTCCTCCCACTTTCCCTCGTCGTCGTCGTCGCTGTCGTCGTCCTCCTGATCCTCCTCCTCCTCCTCCTCATCATCAGCAGCATCAGCATCACCATCCTCGTCATCATCATCATCATCATCATCATCATAATCATCATCATCATCATCATCATCAGCAGCAGCAGCAGCAGCATCATCATCATCACCACCACCAGCACCACCACTACCATCATCATCATCATCATCATCATCATCATCACCACCATCACCATCACAATCACCATCACCATCGTCATCATCATCATCATCCTCATCCTCATCCTCATCCTCATCCACACCATCATCATCATCATCATCATCATCATCGTCATCGTCATCGTCATCGTCATCGTCATCATCATCGTCATCGTCATCGTCATCGTCATCGTCATCGTCATCGTCATCACCATCACCATCACCATCGCCATCACCATCACCATCACCATCACCATAACCATCATCATCATCATCATCATCATCATCATCATCATCATTGTCCTCATTGTCCTCATTGTCCTCATTGTCCTCATTGTCCTCATTGTCCTCATTGTCCTCATTGTCCTCATTGTCCTCATTGTCCTCATTGTCCTCATTGTCCTCATTGTCCTCATTGTCCTCATTGTCCTCATTGTCCTCATTGCCCTCATTGTCCTCATTGTCCTCATTGTTATCCCCATCGCACTGTTCCCCTCCTTCTCCATCCCTCCCCCTCCAGATGCCCCTCTACATCAGGATCCTCATCCCTCTTCTTCCTCCTTCCCCTCCTCCTCCTCATCACCATCATCCTCATCCTCCTCGGCCTGCGCATCGTCCTCGCCCGTCCTCCCTGACCTGCAGCTTCTCCGCCTGGGCACCCCCTCCTCCCCCTCCCTTGCTAGGCCGAGTGGCGTTCACGCCATGAAACACGGGCCTGCGGCGGCCATTTCGGGACGACACGGGCAACCCCGGGAACGCTCTCGGCGAGACGCAGCTGCTGGAAAGCGTCCCGAGGAGAGAAAACCTAGGAACCAGCGAAAACGTCCGAAGGCTTGCCCGGGGCCACCCCTAGCTAGGCAGGCGCAGGAGGGGGGAGGAGGGAGGAGGAGGGAGGAGGAGGGAGGAGGAGGGGGCCGGAGGAGGAAGGAGGAGGGAGGAGCAGCAGGAGGAGAGAGGAGGGAGGAGGAGGAGGAGGAGGAGGAGGAGGAGGAGGAGGAGGAGGAGGAGGAGGAGGAGGAGGAGGAGGAGGAGGAGGAGGAGGAGGAGGAGGAGGAGGAGGAGGAGTGCTCCCTCAGCATCTTCATGTGCATTGAGCGATCCTGCTAGTGTTCGCCACGCGTTCGCAGTGGGTTGAGTTCGTCGCCAGGGTGACTGTTTTCACCGAGCCACTCTCCGCCAATCGGTCAGGGCCTTCAGCCAGGACCCCCACTGGTCCAGGGCGCATGGGACATGAGGCGTTAGGAGGAGGAGGAGGAGGTGGAGGAGGAGGAGGAGGAGAAGAAGGATGTTGAGGTGAGGAGAGGAGGAGGAGGAGGAGGAGGAGGAGGAGAGGAGGGAGGAGGAGGAGGAGGAGGAGGAGCAGGATGTTGAGGAGAGGAGAGGAGGAGGAGGAGGAGGAGGAGGAGGAGGAGGAGGAGGAGGTCCCCTCCTCCGAAGACTTGCGGGGGTGTCTTCCCCCCCCAGCGGCGCTCCTGGAGCACCTTCTGCGCGTTGTGCGTGGAGCCCTCCCCGCACAGGATCGAGTCCAATGTGGCCTTGCCGTCGGGCAG